AAAAATAACATTTTTTGTGGAAATATCATCAGGAATTACTCTTTTTGTTATAAGAAATATGGGGAAATGGACTGTCAAGCCAGTCTTTATTATACCTATACTAAAGCAGCTATTAGAAAAATTATTAGTAATTATGATATCCAGTAGGGTAGAGGATATGCTGGTTTGTTATTTATAGAGCAAATTGTAATAATAATGTAGAAACTTGAATCCTGTTTCAAACGTCAATGTTGTTCTAAGGATGCTTTTCTTTGCTGCTGTTAAAAATTCTAACGGAGAAAAGTCTTTTTTAAACTTCAAAAAGGGTATTAAAAAAAAGGAAATTGTTACAATTCTAATAGTGGACAAAAAAAATAAGCCTTTCAGCGCTAGCATTTACATGTTCGCTTTTAGACAACGCAATTTTTTAATTAGCAATATATTAGCATATAAAAAAAATCGACTTGAAAAACAGATACTATTTTTATTGGGGAGGGGGTTTGGAGAGACCACAACCGTTATTTTACTGGGGGCCAGGATGACCTAAAGCCTTAGTGTGCTAGCTGGGTATAGACCTGTATCTTTACTATCTGTTGTTTGTAAAGTTATGGAAATTGATAATGGTTGGGATATTTCTAAACTTTGCCAAAACGTTTGATTCTGTTAATCACAAAAGATTATTGTTAAAATTGAATGCTCTTGGTTTTAAATCAAAATTATTAAACTATTGTAAGGGATTTTTAAAGAACAGAGTTCAAAGAGTTGTGATAGGAAATAATAAACCTGAATAGGAAGTGGTTATGAGTTGAGTACAACAAGGAACAGTGCTAGAATCACTATTATTTGAAGTGTTTATTAATAATATCTCTAACAAAATAAAATCAAGCTCTAAACTCTTTGCTGACGACACAAAAATTCTTAGAGCAATAAAAAATGATAATGATATTATTGAACTTAAAAAGATATAGAAGAATAAACGGAATGGTCGATAAAATTTAATTCGAATGGTTGATAAAGTTTTCGAATGGTCAATAAAATTTGAATGGTTGATAAAAGTCGATAAAAGGTCGATAATGGTCGATAAAAGGTCGAAAATGGCCAATAATGGTCGATAAAAGTCGAATGGTTGATAAAATTGTCGAATGGGCGATAAAATTCAATTCGAATGGTTGATAAAATTCAACCAGCAAAAATGTAAGGTTATAATAATAGGAAATAACCATCACAAAGTTTAATCAAAAATACAGCTTTAGTCTATACAAGCTTGGAAAAGGATTTAGGAGTATACATTCCAGATAATTTGGAATGGAAACAATATATAGATAAAGAAGTAAATAAAGCAAATGAAAACCTTGGTCATATCAAACACACTTGAATATTTAGATAAAAAAATGACAAAACTCTTGTGAGAATGTCCGACAAAGAGCTTTTAGAATCAAAAGTTTAAAAAGATACATTTATCAAGAGAGATTTAAAAAGTTGGGATTAAAATAGGTTACTTAACGATGATTATAATTATATAAAGTTTTTAACAAAATTAAAGCTAACATGTGTATAGGCATGAATTTTTCAGTTGCTAGCTAAAAGATCATTCAACTTAATTTTGTTTGTATAAAGAAATTAAAAAATTAAAAATTTATTGATCAATTTACAAAATTTACATAAATAAATATATAGTTTTAACAGTATGATTTTCCAATATTACTTGCAATTAGAGCGATTTACAGTTTTAAAATTGGAATGTAATCATAAAAAGTTTGAAAATGCCAAACTTTGAATTTACGGAGACAAAAAACTTATTAAGTTATATTTTAAACTAAATATTTTAACGAATTTAAAACTTACTATGCTCAGGGGCGGATTAGGCCACCGGGACACCGGGACATTTCCCGGTGGGCCGTCAGCGATAAAAAATTTTAAAATTTTATAATATTTTAAAACGTATTTTCTTTAATTTTTTTAATAAATTTCTAGAATAGTAATAAAAAATTGTGAGTTGAAATTTACTTCAGATTTTGCTTTATTCAACTTTGTTTTCACTATAGATTGTTTAAATAAAACGAGTTAAATAAAAACGCGTTAAATAATTTATTATACATATCTTAATAGAATTTTTAATTTAAAGTAACGCTTCTTTTATAATTTATTATTTCAATAAACATTTTCTAAATCAAAACAATATTATAAATATAATATAAAATATCTAACAAAAAAAGGAATTAGGTATTTATATAAATATTGGTTTTTTATTAATATGGTATTTTACTATTTAAAAATTAAAAGTAATCTATTTATATTTTATATAGTATGTATAATATTAATAAGAAATCCCTACACAGTTTATAAAAAAAAATATGAATGATTTATTTTTAATGAAGATGTAGGTTTATTTTAATAAATATGGAGGTTTAATAATAATGTAGGTAATAATAATGTAGGTTTAATAAAATGTAGGTTTATTTTAAAAAATATTAAAATTAGTATATTCTAAACTTATAAGTTATATTCGTTAAAAATAATCAGATTAACAAACTTCACATAAATAACAATACAGCCGCAGGTCTTCCATTCATAACACTTATTTAAAGTATTCATAGTAGTTAAAAGGCTAATACAAATGTTTATTTTTTTATTTTTTTACAGGTGTGATGTCTAAGCGAAAAGGTGGACATGAAAAGTTACGTGAGAAAAACATAAAGCTTCTGCGAGAAGATGCTGAAACAACTAAAAAACTACTATTTATGTTTTCTAAACTGAATTCAAATACCCTGCAACACCATGCTGATGCTGAGCCTGTTGATGAGGTTCAATCTCACGTTGCTAAAGAGACCCAAACAAACCTTGATGATGAAGATGGCGTTCATACTGACACTAATGAAATGACCCAACCAATCCTCATTCTAAACATCACAGCTTCTTCAATCATGGTTGAACCTACTGGTGATAACGAAAAAACTACTACCCGAGTTAATGATTGGTCTAATAAGCCTCACCTAAATGAACTGACAACTTTCTATAAATATCACCCACATCAGCCTGAAATACGTCACTTTAATTCAAAAATGGTGTATTATCGTCATGAAGATGGTATGCAGCGTATGTTTCTTTCATTTTCAGAAGAAGAAGAGTGCCTGTTTTGCAGTGTTTCTTTGGCACATGGAAATGAGAAGCAGAAACCAAGTTCGTTTGTAACAGGTTTTAACAGTTGAACTTATATTCATCAACGTATTGTGAAACACTAATCGTCAAAGAATGTGTCGAGGCTTATCTACATTTCTCTGCTAATCGAACCATTCTAGATATGGTACAAGGTCAGCAATATAGTCTACAAAAACAGCAAGTTTTACATCGTAGATTGATCGTGGACAGAGTAGTGTCAATTGTCAAAGTGATTGGTAAACGTGGTATGCCATATCAAGGTAAGGCTGGTTGCGAAGCCGTCAATGTTTTGGCTAACGAAAGAGTGGATCATGGAACATTTCTTGAAATCGTGATTCTTGTTGCGAAGTACGATGAAATTCTAAAAGCGTATTTGAAGGAAATTATAGACAAAAGCTGAATGATAAAAAGGATAAGAGGAATAGAGCTAACAGAAATACTTTCATTTTCCAATCCACTGTAAACCAAATTATATTAGGAATCGCTAAATTTATGAAAAGTGCCATTGCTGAAGAAATACAACAAGCGGGAATATTCTCAGTGCAAATTGATACAACTCAAGATGTAACACAAGCGGATAAATGTGCGATAGTCCTACGATACGTTACCGACAAAGTTGAGGAGCGACTTATTGGTATTGTCGATTCACATTCTGGAAAAGGCGGTGATATGTGCAAATGTCAAATGTTTTGGAACAAAATGGCATTGATATTACTAAATGTATGTTAGATAGCGCGCCAAATATGACCGGGGTTATTCAATGGATTTACTACATTCTTAGAAAAAGCGTCTCCTGGACACATTCACACATGGTGTTATGCGCATGTTTTAAATCTAGTCGTATGTGACGCCACCAGCAGTAATGAAGCTTCAATGACACTTTTTGGTATACTTCAAAAGGCTGCTATGTTTTTTCGTGAGTCCTACTTGAGAATGGACCTTTGGACTGATCACATGAAAAAAAAAATAGCCAAAACATTCACAAACGACTAAGTGTTATCGGTGCTACTAGATGGGGGTCCAAACACGATGCCCGTCAAAGGTTTTTGGTACGTTTTGCGACGGTGAAGGAGCATTATACACAGACGTCGTTCAAGTACTGGAAATAACAGTCTCTTCCACTAAATTAAGTGTTGAAGCACGCTATGATGCGCAGTGTCTATTAACGTCCTTATTGAAGTATAAGACTGTACTGACGGGATTTGTACATCTAAGAATAATGGAAGCAACCACACCACTGTCCAAATACCTACAGACGTCTGGATTGAATTTCATAAAAGTAGTAAGAGATTGCCGGTTCTAAGCCATTTTCATTTTCAACCATATTTTCAACCATATATTTTAAAAAATATAGGGTTCATTTCTAACCATGATGTGAATAATTATTTATATAAGAAATAATTTTTCAAATTTATATAAATTTGAAAAAATTGAATTTTTTAAAATAAGCGTTAATTTTTTATTTCTTGTCGGAAAATGTCACGTGATTTTTCTTGCTGTGACGTCACGTGACTTTTCTAATAATAAATATTATCTGGTGTTTTTAACTTTTCTTCTTCTAATATTTCCTTTTCTAAATTTTCAAATTGTAATTTAGATTGTTTTTGCATATAACGAGCTAAACTTAATCTTCTTTTATAACTTGTAAATTTAATATCTACATCTTTACTTGTACAATCCATTTCTTATAATTTATGTAAAGAAATTTATTTTCAATTTTTTTTCTTGCTATCGCAGATTGCTCTTGTTCGCTAATTGATCTTTCTGATCTGTGCGCATGCGCTGGGATTTATTTAAGCATAGTAGAAGCATTGCTTAACTTTATAACTACTAGAATTTAATCACTACGTGTATCAAAATTATTAAATATATCCATTTTTAACAGCTGAATTAAATGCCCATTCTGAACCTTTATACCCTAATTCATGTAAATATTTAATAATTTCAAGATTTCCACTTTCAACAGCTGAATTAAATGTCCGTTCTGAACCTTTATACCCTAATTCATGCAAGTATTTTAATATTTCAAAATCTCCATTTCTTGCAACACAACAAAATGTCCATTCTGAAACTTTATATCCTAATTCATGTAAATATTTAAGTACTTCAAGATGTCCATTTTTAGCAGCATTTTCAAAAGCTTTATTAAATTCATAATCTGTACATTTATACCCTAATTCATGTAAATATTTTAGTACTTCAAGATGTCTATTTTTAGCAGCATTTTCAAAAGCTATATTAAATTCATAATTTGTACATTTATATCCTAATTCATGCAAGTATTTTAATATTTCAAAATCTATATTAAATTCATAATCTGTACATTTATACCCTAATTCATGTAAATATTTTAGTACTTCAAGATGTCTATTTTTAGCAGCATTTTCAAAAGCTATATTAAATTCATAATTTGTACATTTATATCCTAATTCATGTAAATATTTAAGTACTTCAAGATGTCCATTTTTAGCAGCATTTTCAAAAGCTTTATTAAATTCATAATCTGAACCTTTATATCCTAATTCATGTAAATATTTTAATATTTCAAGATGTCCATTTTTAGCAGCATTTTCAAAAGATATATTAAATTCATAATCTGAACCTTTATATCCTAATTCATGTAAATATTTTAATATTTCAAGATGTCCATTTTTAGCAGCTTTTGAAAATGCTGAATCAATTGCCCATTCTGTATTTTTATATCCTATTGAATGTAAATATTTAAGTACTTCGAGATTTCCATTTTTAGCAGCATAATTAATTGCACATTCTGTCCCTTTTTCTCCTGATTGAATTAATAATTTAATTAGATCAATCTTCCCTATACTTGTAGCAAAGTCAACTTTATTTCCTTTCTCATAACAATACTTTTTTAATATTTTAGTTAAATAATATACTTGAGTTGAAGGTTTTATTAAAAATTTATTATTCTCAAAATTATTTTCTAATTCCATTCTTTTTTATATATAAAAGAAAATTATTTAACTCATTTTTCAATTTATTTTATTTTTTTACAAAAATAAAATATTTAATTCTGTATACTTTCATCATCATCATCTTCATCTTCATCATCTTCATCATCTTCATCATCATATTTTGTAGTTTCTGTAATTTCAGTAACTTCAGTAGTAGTAACTGTAGTAACTTCTTCTTCATCTGCATCATCTTCATATTCTTCAGTCATTTCAATATCATCAACATATTCAGTAGTTTCTGTAATTTCAGTAACTTCAGTAGTAGTAACTGTAGTAACTTCAGAATCTTCAGTCATTTCAATATCATGAATATCAATAATATTTAATTTTTCTTCTATTAATCTTAATCTTTGTTCTATTGATTTTAAAAATGAATTTTGCATTTCGTTTTCCATTCTTTTTATTATGTAAAGAAATTTATTTAACTCATTTTTAATTTTTTTGATTTAAAATATTTTTACAAATAATAAAAATAAAAATGAATGATGACGAGATTAATGAAATATCTGAATTTCAAAAAGAATTTAAACTTTTTGAAGAAATATTAAAATTTGAATTTGAAGAATCAGATTCTGAAGATGACACTTATTATACATCTGATGAAGCTACTTATTTTACATCTGATGATGAAGATGAAGTTAAAGAAAAACCTATAGTTCCAATTCCTTTAAAAACAGTTCAAATCATGGAACTGCATAAAGATAAGCTGAAATGGATTAATTATGTTCCAACTTATAATGTTATTAATGATGATTATCCTGCTATAGATAATACTTCTTTTAAAAAACATTACAAAAACAAAAAATTTAGTTTTGAAAAACCATTTAATGTTGATATTAATTTTACTGAAGATGGAAAACCTTCAACAATTCATTTTGTAGAGAAACTACCCATTTTCTGTAAAAATATTTTAAATGATAATTTCTGCCCTTTTGGAAGAAAATGTAAATACAATCATGATATTCCTTATTGTAATACTGTAAAGGAAAGACTAATATGCACTAAATCTTCATGTCAATATAGGCATATTCATATTTGCTATGATTATCCTAAATGTAGGAATAAAGAGTGTGTATTATATCATCCTAAAAAGTCAGAATTATCTAAATTAAGAAAAGCTAAAACTAAATTATGCAAATATATTCTTGATAAAAAAGAATGTAAAAATATAAATTGCAAATATGCTCATTCTAAAAAAGAAATTGAAGAAAATGTAGAAATTTGTCATTATACTCCATGTAAATTAGTAGAGAGTAAATTAAAGAAAAATAAAAAAGGAGAAATAGAAACAATATATAAAAATAAAAGTGATAAAACATGTTATTTTTTACATCAAGGTGAAAGTATTTTAAATTATATTGTTAGAACTTTAAAAAAATGAAAAAATATCATACTTTAAAAGTATTATATTTATAGTGATCTAAAAAAATCTTTACATTTAAAAAATGTATAAGAGTAGAATGTTTTTAGAGTATGAAAAGCATAAAAAATATACAATAACTTTTAATATTAATTCAGATTTAGAACATAGAGCAATAATTGATAGACATATTAAAGTATTCGCACAAGAAGATTTTACTTTAGAATCAAATAAATATAATAGCATTTCTTTAATGTGTGGAGTTGAAATAGATAAAGGACATGTAATGATTTTACTTGCAGAAGATTATAAACCATCACTAAATTTACTAAATTCTGTTGTAATAGAGTCTACTGATGATATTAAAATAACTTTATATAATAACGATAAAAAAGATATAAACATTAAAAAAGGAGATTTGTTATGCTATATTTTATCTTATAATGGTGTTTTTAATACAAATCATATATCACGTAGAGCTGCTTTAGAACCTGATAAAAAAGTAAAAGCTAGATCGCAAAGTGATAAAGAATCTGTAAAATCTTTTTTATCAAGTATAGGAGAAGTAATTAAAGAAACTATATGTGATGAAGATAAACCTAGTTTTGATAATTCTGATAAAGCTATATTTGATTTTGGTAAATAAAAGTGATTTAAAAAAAAATTTTCTTTATAGAAAAAAGAAATGCTATGTAATAATGAATGTAAACAGCTTTATCCAGATCTTAACCAGTTTTCAGAAAATCCATCTGCACCACCACTATCTATAGATCAGAGATATAGATTAGATAAGTGAAATTCAAAATAAAATGGAATGTGAAAGAAATAGAAGAGCTATACTAAGTAAAAAATATCACAGAGCTTCAAGAATCATTTCAGCAGTTGATAATACATTACTAGCAAGCACAATGGCATTAGGAGCTGTTGGTATTGGTTTTTTAACAACAATAGTTGGAACACCAGTAGCTATTGCATGTGAAGGTGCAGCATTAGGTATGGGTGTATTATCATTAATAGGATCACAAGCTATTAAAAAATTAGCAATAAAAGCAGAAAAGCATGAAAAGATTAAAGTACTAGCTGATGCTTAATTAAATACGATAAGCGATCATATTTCTAAAGCTTTAAAAGATGGTTTTATCGATGATGTAGAATTTACAATGATACTTTCAGAACTTGAAAAGTTTCAAGCTATGACTGAACAAATTAGAACAAAATCTAAGAAAGATATAGATGAGCAGACTAAAGAGTCAATATTTAATAAAGGAATAGAAAAAGGTACAAATGATGTCATTGAAGTGTTAAATATGAGATTTAACAAACATCAGAATATAGGAATGATGAATAATACTCTTAAGAATTAAATAAAAAAACATATATTATGTATTAATTGAACATATATTATGTATTACAAACATAATATATGTTGATTTAATCCATTTAGGGATCTGATAATCACATTGTGATTTAAAAAAATTATTGCATATATAAAAATGTATGCAAAAGCTACAGATATTGATGCAAGATTAAAAATAGCAAAAGAACTTGATGGGTTAAAGAAAAGTGTTTATCAAGATTCTATTAATGAAAAGTTAGGTTATGATACTTTACAGACTAACTTGGAAAAATTGTACAAGCCAATAATAGATAGTCAATCTGGAATAAAAGAAGGTATATCTAAACTAGAAAATAAAGCTGATCAAATAGCTAATACTTTTTCAAGTTATCCTGCTTTACTAGATTCTGAAACTAAATCAATCATGCCACCTGAAGTTGTAGATAAAATGTCATTAGGACCTATCGCAGCAGAATATCTAAAGTTATATACTGCTAAAAATAGTAAAAAAGTATCAGATGATATATTCGGTATACATTACAATGAAGGTGATAAAAAATTTTACATTGGTAAAAAACCAATAACTATTGAAGGTAATGATATAATTATTGAAGGTAAAAAATACATTGGTACACCAGGCCTTTGGGAGATTATAGTAAAATCTCATCCTGTTAGATATACTAACAATGATCGTAATAAGTATAAAGAAATTTTAGATCAAACAGATGCAATTCGCTCTGATTTAAATTCAGCTAAACCGAGATCATCTAAAAGTTATAAGTACGCTAATGTAATAAAACCTATTTGGGAAGAGATGATTGGAAAGTCTGGAAAAGGAGTTGTCATTCTTCCTAGTGATCCAAATGTACTATTTGATATGCTTAAATTACGCTTAGCTGCTTTTCAAGCAGGAAATACTGGAACAAGTAATGAGATTGTTGCTATTTGTGATGAGTTGTTACGACAGGGTCAAATAGACGATGATGAGTATAAAGCATTACAGAAAGCAATAACTTAAAATCACAAAGTGATTTAAAAAATTATTTTATATATAAAAAATGACAAAATACTATGATACTCTTATCAATCTTTCAGATAGTCAGAAAGAAAAAATTAAAAAAGCAATTGAATCTGATACTAATGCTGTTATAAAACTATCATATGAAGATTTAAATGGTGGACACAAAATAGCTTTAACAGAGTCACAAAGAAACAGAATGAGAGCAGCCTATTTAAAAAATAAGGGTATAACACTTTCACTGAGTAGAGCACAACTTAAACATAATGCTAAAAAAAATGGTGGATTTCTACCTCTACTTGGATTAATTGGAAGTGTAATTGCATCAAAAGTTGTTCCGGCTATAGCAACAGGATTATTGACTGGAACAGCTGCAGCTGCTGGAAGTACTATAGTTAATAAAATTGCTGGAAATGGTATTATTTATGGAAAAAAGAATGGTTATGGATTTAAAATTAGAAAAGTAGGAAAAGGAGTATTTTTAAACCCATGGAATGGTAGTTATAATTATTTAGATGGATATTATTCTAAAAATGGAAATGAATGTTCATCATTAGGTAGAGGATTGTTATTAGGAGAAAATTCTCCATTTAAGAATATACCCTTATTAGGTCTTCTTCTTTAGATCACTTCGTGATCCAGGCTTCGCTAAGTTCTGAAAGAACCCAATCTTCGCTAAATCTTATAATATATATTTTTTAAAAAATATATATTTATCGATTCCACAATGAAGTTGGATAATAAAATAAATCTAATCCACTTCTATACTTTCCATTTAATAGATCAGAAGACAAATCTATAACAACAAATCCATGCTTTTTTGACCAAGCTTCATTACAAAACTTTTTAAACTCATCTAATTTCATATCATTTGAAACATGGTCATTATAAATATGATTTACATTTTTAGAATCTTGTTTAAACAAGCATATAAAATTTGCATTTTCTCTTATCGTTCTCCTAGGCAACTCAAAATAATTTTGTGCCAAGTAGAAACAATCTACATTGCTATGTCTTCCTCTTATATAGTACTTTTCACACTTGATTTGTTTTGTTAATTGTAAATCATCAAATATCATTAAATTATTTTTAATAGAGTTAAGATTTTCAGGTTCTGGTACATCCTCTGCTGTTTCAAAAAATTGACACTCTATATCTGTTTTATCTTTTAAATCTCTTGAAATGTTTTTAATAACAAACTCTGGATTTACATTGTTTTTATTTATTTGATCTTGCAACTCAAATAGTTTAAGAATAACTTCTTTTGGTAATTTATTTTCAAAAGAATTTTTTAATATTTTGTATTCAGGTTGAAAAAGTGACTTTCCAAAAACTTGAAAATTATTATAGTCTAACCAACCAGGTCTTAAGAGCAAGTTTAATAATAATGTTGTCTTTCCACAACCTGATTTTCCAACAATAATACCTCTTATACTTTTAGGTAATAACTCATTATTATGGCGTTTACTTTTATTTACATTCCATGATAAATCTA